ATTACAGATGTGAGCCACCACACCCAGCCAGATTTTACTTTAAATGAGAGTCCCTCTTCAGAGTCCCTCATCTGTTCCTGTCCCCTGGCCATGCTCCTTCAGTTGCCCCTGCTTCTGTGGTATCCTTAGGGCTACATTCAGTGCTGAGGCCCTAGGCAGGCAGCAGAGAGAAGCCAAATGATTCTGCCTTTCCTTTATCCACCCATAGCATGCAGAACCAGGAGCAGTAGTGGGTTCAGGGTGGGCACCAGCTGGCAGCTATGTATAGATACATCAGAGACAGGGGGGCCAAAGGCAGTCAGTTTCTAAGGACTGCCCCAGAGGCCATTTTTCAGAGAAGCTCTGGGTTCCTCAAGGGCCCTGTGTCCATGCTGGCCCATCTTGCAGGACGAGCCCGTGGAGTGGGAGACACCTGACCTTTCTCAAGCTGAGATTGAGCAGAAGATCAAGGAGTACAATGCCCAGATCAATAGCAACCTCTTCATGAGCTTGGTGAGTTGACTGTGCAGGAAGGGAGTGTGGGGAGGAACAGGTACCCAGCTGTGTGCCTGATACCCAGAGGGTCACAACTGAGGTTTTCTTGGGTGGGCCCAAGCAGTAATTTGTGCATACCCAGCCTAGCCCCAAGTAGACTGACATCTCACCTGGAACCTACTATCGTTTGATTTCTCTATTTCTTTAGAACAAGGATGGTTCTTACACAGGCTTCATCAAGGTTCAGCTGAAGCTGGTGCGCCCTGTCTCTGTGCCCTCCAGCAAGAAGCCACCCTCCTTGCAGGATGCCCGGCGGGGCCCAGGACGGGGCACAAGTGTCAGGCGCCGCACTTCCTTTTACCTGCCCAAGGATGCTGTCAAGCACCTGCATGTGCTGTCACGCACAAAGGCACGTGAAGTCATTGAGGCCCTGCTGCGAAAGTTCTTGGTGGTGGATGACCCCCGCAAGTTTGCACTCTTTGAGCGGGCTGAGCGTCATGGCCAAGGTGGGATTCCCACCCCACCCTGCTCTATGTGAGAGTATATACACATGCACCTGTGCATGCAAGGGCTGAGCAGCTGGCCCTGTCTCTGATCATTACTTCCCCTTCACAGTGTACTTGCGGAAGCTGTTGGATGATGAGCAGCCCCTGCGGCTGCGGCTCCTGGCAGGGCCCAGTGACAAGGCCCTGAGCTTCGTCCTGAAGGAAAATGACTCTGGGGAGGTGAACGTGAGTACATAGTTCTCCTCAGTTTCTTGGTTGTCACTAGATGGGACTGATGGGCTGTAGCTACAGTAAGGCTTGAAGGAGGAATTGTGCTGGAGGACAAGCCCTGCAAAACAGTTCCAGGAGTGTATAGGCATTGTAACTAAAGCAAAGGCTTCCAGACCACTCATGCCAAAGCCTAGGGTTGTCCCAAGAAGCCAGGAAGAATTGTCTTGGTGCTTTGGTCTTTCCTGGTGTGGAAAATCTGGAGATGCAGGAGTCCATCTAATGACATGAGGAGGCCCCCTTCAGACTTTTTACCTGGAAGCTTTCTGGCTCCAAGGTATTAGGCCTGTGGAGTGGAATTAGAATATGCCTGACCTGTCCACAGGTAATTGGGGAACATCTGATTTGGTTGCCTCAGTAAGGTGACCATTTTGTAGGGCCCATCTTCCATACAAACTGCTGTCAGGGATCCTAGCAGAGATCATTCAGCCAAAAGCCTGACATCAGAAAGCCTAGTCCTAGCTTGTGTGAACATAAGGTGCTAGTCTTCTCTGGGGAGGGTCTGCTGACTTGGCCATCCCTTCTGCAGCCTGTACACTCCCCTTTCGCCCCTTGCAGTGGGATGCCTTCAGCATGCCTGAATTACATAACTTCCTGCGTATCCTGCAGCGGGAGGAGGAGGAGCACCTCCGCCAGATCCTGCAGAAGTACTCCTATTGCCGCCAGAAGATCCAAGAGGCCCTGCACGCCTGCCCCCTCGGGTGACCTCTTGTACCCCCAGGTGGAAGGCGGAGAGCAGGCAGCACCAAGTGCATGCCGTGTGAGTGTGACAGGGCCAGTGGGGCCTGTGGAATGAGTGTGCGTGGAGGCTCTCCTCTGCTGGGGGAATGAGCCCAGAGAACAGCGAAGGAGCTTGCCCCCTGTGTCCACCTGTGGGTATAGCCGGGTATGGCTCTGCACCCCTTGCACCCCTCTGCCCCTCATTACTGGGCCTTGGTGGGCCAGGGCTGCCCTGAGAAGCTGCTCCAGGCCTGCAGCAGGAGTGGAGCAGACAGAAGTCTCCTCAATTTGTGTCTCAGAAGTGAGAATCTTGGAGATGCTACAAACAGAACAGGGTCGTGTTTGCAGGGGTGAGGGCCCTCATCTATGGGGAAAGGTTTTGGATTTTGAATGTGGTCTCAGGATATCCTTATCAGAGCTAAGGGTAGGTGCTCAGAATAAGACAGGCATTGAGGAAGAGTCTTGGTTTCTCTCTGCAGTGCCAACTCCTCACACACCCTGAGGTCAGGGAGTGCTGGCTCACAGTGCATCAAGTGCCTTAATGCCTCATATGAGGAGGATGTCCCTGGGCCAGGGTCTGTGTAAATGTGGGCACTGGCCCAGGTTCATACCTTATTTGCTAATCAAAGCCAGGGTCTCTCCCTCAGGTATTTTTCATGAAGTGTATGAATGTATGTAATGTGTGGTGGCCTCAGCTGAATGCCTCCTGTGGGGAAAGGGGTAGGGGTGACAGTCATCATCAGGGCCTGGGGCCTAAGGGAATTGGCTGAATAAAGATTTAAAGATCCTCCTACTGTTGGAATCTTTTATACATACAAAGTTTTTATGAGTCTCCCTGTGTTGCCCAGGATCCTCCCAACTTGGCCTCCCAAAGTGTTGGGATTACAGGTGTGAGCCACCCTGCCCAGCCTGGACTCTTTATTATAGGTGGAGAGCTGCAGTTGCCCCTCATGGTGCCGGAAGTTGCCAAGGGTTATGGACAGGCTCACAGGTGTCTTGCAAAGTCACCATGGACCAGTCTGTGAAGCAGATGTAGTATGCATATATACTCAGTCATCACTCAGCTCCCTGGGGCTCAGGTTGTGGTGGAGACAAGAATGGACTGCAGTTAGAACTCAGGGAAACTGGCCAGGCATGGTGGCTCACACCTGTAATCCCAACACTTTGGGTGGGCTAGGCGGGCAGATCACTTGAGGCCAGCAGTTCGAGGCAAGCCTGACCAACATGACGAACCCCATCTCTACCAAAAATACAAAAGATTTAGCTGGGCGTGGTGGTGGGCACCTCTAGTCCCAGCTACTCAGGAAGCTGAGGCAGGAGAATCACTTGAACACGGCAGGCAGAGGTTGCAGTGAGTGGAGATGACACCACTGCACTCCGATAGAGCAAGACTCCATCTCAAAAAAAAAAAAAAAAAAAGGCCGGGCGCAGTGGCTCACGCCTGTAATCTCAGCACTTTGGGAGGCCAAGGCGGGTGGATCACCTGAGGTTGGGGGTTCAAGACGGCCTGACCAGCATGGTGAAACCTGTCTCTACTAAAAATTTTTTTAAAAATTAGCCAGGCGGCCGGGCGCGGTGGCTCAAGCCTGTAATCCCAGCACTTTGGGAGGCCAAGACGGGCGGATCACGAGGTCAGGAGATCGAGACCATCCTGGCTAACACGGTGAAACCCCGTCTCTACTAAAAAAAAAGACAAAAAACTAGCTGGGCGTGGTGGCGGGCGCCTGTAGTCCCAGCTACTAGGGAGGCTGAGGCGGGAGAATGGCGTAAACCCGGGAGGCGGAGCTTGCAGTGAGCTGAGATCTGGCCACTGCACTCCAGCCCGAACGACAGAGCGAGACTCCGTCTCAAAAAAAAAAAAAAAAAAATTAGCCTGGCATGGTGGTGAATGCCTGTAATCCCAGCTACTCGGGAGGCTGAGGCAGGAGAATCGCTTGAACCCTGGAGGTGGAAGCTGCAGCGAGCCGAGATCGTGCCACTGCACATTATCCTGGGCAACAAGAGTGAAACTCCATCTCAAAAAAACAAAACAAAAAAAAAAAACAAAACGAGAAACCATCCCTTCAACACACACACACCACACGCTCTGGGAGAAGGTGTGACATAACCCCTTCACCAAATACTGAGCTGCCACCGTGGACCAGACACTGCTCATAGCACCGAGGGTATAGCTGTTAACAATTCTTGCTTTCGGCCGGGCGCGGTGGCTCAAGCCTGTAATCCCAGCACTTTGGGAGGCCGAGACGGGCGGATCACGAGGTCAGGAGATCGAGACCATCCTGGCTAACCCCGTGAAACCCCGTCTCTACTAAAAAATACAAAAAAAAACTAGCCGGGCAAGGTGGCGGGCGCCTGCAGTCCCAGCTACTCGGGAGGCTGAGGCAGGAGAATGGCGTAAACCCGGGAGGCGGAGCTTGCAGTGAACTGAGATCCGGCCACTGCACTCCAGCCTGGGTAACAGAGCGAGACTCTGTCTCAAAAAAAAAAAAAAACAATTCTTGCTTTCATTAAAGCATGGACTCTGCTGGGTTTGAAAACTCTGAATTCGAAGTTCTTCACACCTGAATATAACTATGTGAATCTGGCCAGTTCCTTAATTTTCCTTCAACTTTGTTAGTTCACATAAGCGTGGCAATCGCAAAAATACAGCTGTGAAAATAGAAGCCAGATGGGCACCCAGCGGTCTGGCCTTAGGCCCTGAAGTGCTGGTTGAGGATTGGTGGTTGAGAAGGCCTGCTAGGCCTGAACTCAGGTGTTGGGGGACGTTGGAGCCTCCAAATACACCCAAGAGAGCGGGAGGACTCACGGCCACCACTTTCCTCCGTGGGAACTGTCACAGCTGGTCAGATCGCGGCTTGCTGGGACCCGAGATCTCGTAACGCATGCTGGGATGCCCAGCATCTAAGGGCGCCCATTGGTCCCGTCCCCACGCCTTGAGCAACAGCCAATCAGAGGGGGCAGCGTGCGGAAGCGGAAGTGAGGTTTCCGTGGAGACAGCAGAGCCTGCGGAAGGCGGCGGCGGCGGCGGCGGCACTTGCTAGCAGCGGCTAGGGCAGGTTATGGTGGAGCGGACTGCGCTGTGAGCAGAGCGGCCGCGGGGCCCGCCATGCGCCGGCGGCCCTGACATGGGCGCCAGCGGGTCCAAAGCTCGGGGCCTGTGGCCCTTCGCCTCGGCGGCCGGAGGCGGCGGCTCAGAGGCAGCAGGAGCTGAGCAAGCTTTGGTGCGGCCTCGGGGCCGAGCTGTGCCCCCCTTCGTATTCACGCGCCGCGGGTAAGGGCATGGGTTCCACCCTGGCGGGGGGAACAGGCAGGCGGCCAGGCGGCCCGCGCCACGGGGGAACTTCCACCGCCGTACCCCACTACAGCCAAGCCAGGATGACCCCCATATTTTGAGCCCCATTGGAGCTAGGGGTGGAGAAAGCCGGGTAGTGGTCTCCTGGCGGCCTGGCCACTCTGGAAGTCTCCCTAGGGAAGAGTGGGCCTGAGGCTTGTCACTGGGCAGACCTTCCGCACGGTAAAGCTAAGCTAGGGCCTCCATAAGACCTCAGGATCTCTTCCTTTCATCCCTTCCGGCTCAGCCTGCATACTGAAGGCTCCTAGCCTCCCTTTCCCCCCAATTGGGATAATGATCCTCTGTTTAGGCTGTTTTTCCTGACAGTAGTGGGACTGAACCTCTCAGAGTAGTGGCTGGGAAAGCAGGGATAGGCCCCAGTACTGGGGGTGAGGCTGAGGAAAAAGATCCTCACCCAGTTATGTTCTCCAGATCCAGAGCGCTGACCTACCCACCCAGTCCCCACCCCAGTCTCCCAGAGGCCCGGACAAGAGTACAAGATTGGCTTGGCTGTAGTGGGCTCCTGGACATGGGCGCTCCCCGTGCTGGAGATTTGGCTGTAGACACCAGGAAGACCCAACAGTGGCAATTCACCAGCCACCTGGGGTGTGGGGTCAGGGGAGACACAGCCTTCATTCTTTTGGGCTCCTTCCTAGCTTAGGCATTTGCTATTTCAGTCTTTGACACTGGGCCAGCAGCATCTTCTGCAGTGAGACCAACATGCCCAGGCCACCACCCTGCCCACTCTAGAAGTCCTGGGTGAGGGCAAAGGCCTGATATTAGAATGGCTGCCCTTGCTGAACAAATCAATGATGAGAACTGGCCTTGGTGGCTGCCTGGATGGTGTGCTCTGGTGTGGCCTTTCTTCTTGGGGGTCTGACATAGTAGCACTGCCCACCCATCACCTCTCTTTCCAGTTTCTTCTAGTAGACCCCAAACCTCAGGCAAAGGATTCTCCAGGCATGCCAGGCATGGTGGCTCACGCTTGTAATCCTAGCACTTTGGGAGGTCAACGCGGGTGGATTGCCTGAGTTCTTGAGTTCGACACCAGCTAGAGCAACATGGTAAAACCCCGTCTCTACTAAAATACAAAAAATTAGCAGGGTGGTGGTGCGTGCCTGTAGTCCCAGTATTACTTGGGAGGCTGAGGCACGAGTGTTGCTTGGACCCGGGAGGCAGAGGTTGCAGCGAGCTGAGATCGCGCCACGGCACTCCAGCCTGGGCGACAGAGTGAGACTGTCTCCAAAAAAATTTTTTTTTTTTTTTTTTGAGACGGAGTCTCACTCTGTCGCCCAGGCTGGAGTGCCGTGGCGCGATCTCAGCTCACTGCAAGCTCCGCCTCCCGGGTTCACGCCATTCTCCTGCCTCAGCTTCCCAAGTAGCTGAGACTACAGGCGCCCGCGATCACGACCTGCTAATTTTTGTTATTTTTAGTAGAGACGGGGTTTCACTGTGTTAGCCAGGATGGTCTCGATCTGCTGACCTCGTGATCCACCTGCTTCAGCCTCCCAAAGTGCTGGGATTACAGGCGTGAGCCACCGCACCCGGCAAAAATTTTTTTAAAAAAGGATTCTCCAGGCATATTATCCTCTTTTCTTCCCACTTGAGTTAGGAAGACCACAGACTTCCCTGTGGCCTGTGACATTTGCCATGCCTAGGTGTGGGGCTCCAACCCAGCCTGTTCCCCTCTCCCTCTGCGCAGCTCTATGTTCTATGATGAGGATGGGGATCTCGCTCACGAGTTCTATGAGGAGACAATCGTCACCAAGAACGGGCAGAAGCGGGCCAAGCTGAGGCGAGTGCATAAGAATCTGATTCCTCAGGTGAGGGGCTGGGCAGTGGTCACAGAGCCTACAGTAAGCGTATGGAGGTAGACCCAGATGGGATCTGTTGTCATGGTGAGGGGGGATCTGGGAGGCACAAGGAAGCTTCCTGAAGTAGAGGCCCTGCGCTGACCCTCACTAGCCTCTGTTTCCATGGCAGGGCATCGTGAAGCTGGATCCCCCCCGCATCCACGTGGATTTCCCTGTGATCCTCTATGAGGTGTGACCCTGAGAGGTGGCAGACGGAAGCACCCCCTGCCCCAGCAAGAAACTCCCAGGCTCAATCAAGGTGTGACTTCCATTGAGGAGCCCAGGCTGGGGCCACAACCCTGAATAAACTCCATTGGCCCATAACCTTCAGCTGTGAGCGGGTCAGTCCCGCAATATTAGTTGGGTGTTGGTTTTTGTATGGACAAGAGGTGGTTGGTGGGTGGTGAAGGCTAATGGCAGAGTTAGCACCCCACTCTCCCCAGCCACCCCTGCAAGAAGCACGGCAGGGCATATAACAGTCAGGAATGCCCGTTACCTGGTTCCTTGCCTGGTCTGCCTTCTTCCAAGTTTGCCTGGGGCCTAGCCCTGCTAGAGGCTACAGCACTTTACAAGCAAGGTATGCCTTCTTCCAGCCCCTAGGCTGTGGGCACTGTATACAAGTAGGAACTTCCTTTCCTTCACTTCCCTTTTAACCCCTAGTCAGAGCATTTCAGCCGTTTGCTACCTCGATTCCTCCTGTGTTGGACAGAGGCTGGGGGCAGTGCCAGCCTGATTCTTCCAACCTACCTGCCATTTGTTCCCGCCTTCAGATGGATGGACAGTTTGCTGGCTATTGATAGGAGTAGGGACTGGGTGGGGGCTTCTCCCTCTACCCAGGGCTGGGCTGATCCCCCTACTGCAACTAACTGTTCCCCCCGCACCCCAAACCCCCAGTTGAGGAATTGAGAGGGTGCAGGCTGGGGTCAGGACATGCTGTGGATGCTTGTGCCTATGGGGAGTTATTCCAACCCACCTATTCTGTCTAATCCCCATGGCTTTGCACCAAATCCTCCACCCCTCCAATTGGGAGGGGACTGTTCACCACCTTGTGGTAAGGGACAACACCCCAAGGCTGGTGCCAGTAGTTATGAGTAGCCTACCACCCCCTCCCTTACAGTAACCGCCACCCCTTCAGGATCAGTCAAGGGAAAGTACTAGAGCCCCTGGGTAGGGAAAGAAAGGAGAGAAAAACCATAAAAGGAATACTTATAATGTGAAGGTTTGTAAATAGTCCATGATGATGTCGTGGCAGAGTCTGATTTCTATATAGAGGTGACTTTTTTTTTTAAGTACTGTGCAAGCTCTGTGCTTCTAGAATGTGGGAAGTGGCTTGGGGAAGATGGCCCCCAGCCTAGGAAGACTGTTGTGTTATTTGTTCAATTTCAATAAAATGATTTGTAGATCCTGCACATGAGAGTGGCATCCTGTGGGGCTGTGACACCCAGTGTCTAGACTACCACCTGGGCTCAATAGGTAGGCCTGGCACAGGACTCTGGCAGGCCCCCTATGACCAGCAAAGCCCAAGGGTAAGTCTGAGCTCAGCTTGTGGCCATCCCAGCTGTGGCCAGCAGGTGGCTGTGTGTTCACACAGACCTCACTGCAGGCCTCCTGCAGGGTGGGAGGGCACTCACTTATCTGTTGTGATCCATGTGGTGGTGACCCTTGGAATCAGAAGGCCCTGGGATACTTCACTGAGGATTGGCCCTACCTGCCTGACCTAAGGTGAGAGAGTGTGACCCCAGATAGTTCTGGAATATCTGTGTTAGCTGCAGAATTGCCAGCTGACCCTAAGTGGGGTCATGGCCTGACCCCCATGGACCTCAAAAGCCCAACTTTAATGGACAGCAGCCAGATAGGTGTCCCTACACCCTTGGCCTACTGCCAGGCTCAGCAACCCAAACTCATGTGCCTTCTCTGAGGCCTGCCTGTGGACACCATAGGAGAATGAGCTCAGTCTTATGTTTCAGCAAGCAAGGCTCAGCCCACCAGTATTGCCCCTGCTCTCTGTTGCCCCCATCTTGTCACCACCTGCAGCCTGCCTACTGTGGTCATTCTGCCTGCACTTCTCAGGGGCTGCTATGACGCAGATTCTCTGCTAGGCTTAGCCTTTGACTATCAGTCCAATTCCCAGTTAGAGAGGAGAGAGTTCAGGGACAGGCTTCTGACTGTAGGGAGTTGGTCTGCCAGTCTTTCGGAGGTTTGAATTTGTCAAGCCTAGAGCAGGATCACCATATCCAGCCTGGACTTGCAGTTCTGTGGGGTGCCTCCCCATACCCCCCATAGGATGCCAAACATGAGGCCCTGTCATCCTCCATGGTCCCCCTCTACTGGCTGTTCAAGGCCCAGGACTCTCCCATGCCAGATAGCATCCTATCTCCTACCACCACCGTCCCAGCCTGGGGGAACTCCCTGTGCTGGGCCTGCCCAGCTGACCCCAACACTGGAAACAATGGAGGTCAGGCAGCACTTCCTCACTCTCTCCCGCTGGGCTGTGCTCACTTCCTTCCTGCTGGCTGCCTAAGGAAGTGTCCCTGCCCTGGGACAGTCTGGCCTAGCCTTTGTTTCCCCAGGGGTCCCCACCCATGGAGCTTCCAAGGCCTCTGACCCCTGTGAAGCCAGCACAGTACAGGGACACTGCACCTTCCCCTACCATGTCATGGACTCCTTGGTCCTCAGGGCCAGACTCCAGGGCATTCACCTAACCCTCACACAGCCTTCTGTTGCGGGAGAGGCTCCTGGGCATTGGGCCATTGGGTTGCTGAGGGGTTGGCTCTGGGTGACTTGAGGGTAGGTAGATTTGTCTGCACCCCTGGAGAGGTCTGCTGGAACCTCGCTGCAGTCCTCCCTAGGGCCAGCCACAGGAACACCCCTCCCAGAGGAATATACCCCTTTCCTCATCCATGTTGTAAGGAGTCCCCTACTCTGTGTAGTGAACTCTGAAATACACCCAGGGATGAACTCCAGCAGGAAAGCACTCAGCAGAACCCTCCCAGCTGGTCCCCTCCTTCCCAACCCACACAGTCACACCAACACATTGTCCTGTCACACAGGATGCGGAAGCTCTCAGTGGAAAAAAAATGGACTCAGCTACTGGAAGTCCCCCCGACCCTCCTCCCAAGGCTAGTTCCCTTCTTTGGCACCTGCTCTGGGGGACCCTCAGCTGAACAACCCCAAGTATTTTGACTCTCAAAAGCACCACCACCTGACCCCATCCTCTCACACCCTACTGGATTTGAGGATGGGCCCCAACCCTAGGGAAGGAGTGAAGAGGTTCCCTAGTGTTGGAAGCTGTGGGTGTGGGGGAGATTGGCACCTGATCCTGAGCCCATAGCCTTCCTGTCACCTGGCGCAGCTAGTGGGACCAGATCCTACTGGGGAAGGGTGGGGAGGGCAGCCAGCCAGCAGGGCATTCTGGAGGGAAACAGGGTCAAGGCGATCTCCTCCCCCGCGCCTGTTCCTGGCCCTTTCCTCTCAGGGGGCAGCAGGAAGTGAGGAGAAAGGGCTGGGATGGGAGGCGGGAGCGGATGGGAGGGAATGGGGTTTATCAAGTCCTCGACGGGCTGCCCAACGGGCAGCAGCTAGCGCAAGTAGCCTAGCTGGAGAGGCTCACCCCAGGAAGGAAGGAGGCCGCCGACCGACTGGGCCGACGGACTCCCACACAGGTGAGCCCAGCGCAGACGGCTGGTCTGCACCCCCACAGCACTCCCTCCCTCTCCTGGCGCCTGGGAGGGTTAGGGGCTGGTGGCGCAGACGTGGGCCCTTTGGGGAGCTGAGTCTCGCACTGGGGAGCGGACGTAGGAAGAGCCGATGTGGTTTCGCACGGGGCTCGCCAGGGTCCAGCTCTAAGCCTGTCCCCCACTGGGAGGGGCCGGTGGAGCGTAGGGGTCGCTGGATACGGGATGGAGGCCCTGGGAGACCCCTCTTGCTGGCTTTCTTGGAGGTACAGCCAGAAACTGCTGCAGGGGATGGGGGCCTCCTCGGGGTTGAGAGGGAGCCGGGCTCCCAAAGGACCTCAGAGACCGGGCAGAAAAGGACGGGATCCCAGGGATGACTGGCCCTCCCTGATGCGAGTCAGGGAGAGGGGGCGGCCAACTTCCTAGACCCCTCTGAGCTTCCCTGCCCCAACCCCTACTGGCCACGCCGCGACCTACAGCCGGGTTGCCAGGATAACGACTGCCTCGGCCCTTCCCGGGCGTGCTAAGAAGCGGTGCTTGGCCCCCTCCTTCAGTCTTGCAGGGGGCGGGGCCTCCCTTTACACCGCGGACCTGACAAGGGGGCCCCTGATTCGTGGGAGGCGGGGCATTACTGTCCAGGAGACCAGAGGTCGCCTCAGGTCAAAGTCCCTTTTTCCACACAAAGGGGCCCCATGGCTGGCGTCTACGTTCGGGGGTGCAGAGCCAGATCTGCTGCTGCCCCCCCGCCAACCTCGGAGTACCGCAGCACCTCCTGATGGTCGAGCGGGACAACGCCTCCTCCCATTTCCCCCACCTTTCTCCCCGTCCCCCTGCCCCGTCCCTCACACTGTCTCTTTATGGGGCTGGCAGCGCCGCGGAGCGGGTAGGACTGAACCACCGGCCTCGGGCTGCAGGGGGAACATTTCAGGCTGACTTACGCTCGTGGCTGAGACTCCCAGAGAAAACCCTGCTCAGAGGGCCATTAGGGTCCCAGATGGGTGGCTACGTTCCTCTGCAGAGGACCTGGGGATCTTCGAGCCCGAAACGCGGCACCGGCACCGAGAAAGGTGAAACACACCTTCCCGCCTCGGCCGCAAGTCCAGTCCCGGGCCCACCTCCGCACTGGAGTCTTAAAGGGCCAGCGGGCCTAGGGGCGGAGCCAGCAGAGGCGCTGAGCCGGGGCCGCGCCTGGGCGAACGGCCGGAGAGGGCTGGGCTGGGCTGGGCCCGGGATGGCGGTGTCCCTGGCGCGGGTCCCGGTGGCGCCCCGCGCGAGGTGAGGGCGGGCGGTGCAAACCTGGCGGCTCTCTCCCCTTGGGCTGGGGCCTGAATCCCCGGGGGTGCTCGCGGAGAGGCGTCCCACAAACCCCACCCCCACCCGACCGGGCGCTGGCCCCACGTGCGGGGCGGGGGCGGGGTCCCGCACAAAGACCCGGCGGAGCGCGCTCTAGCCCTGAGCTGCCGGGCGGGGGAGGCGGGCGCGCGCATTCTCGGTGGCGGTGGAGGGACGGGCCGGTCGGCCGGCGCCGCCGTGGGAGGTCCGCTGCCCCTTTGTCCCCGCGGGGCCTCCTCCAAGCCGGGAGAGTGTCAGCTCTCGAAAGTCCGGACAGCCTCACTCTTCTGCCGGGCGGGTGTTACACGGATAGAAGCCTCGCAGCTGCGTTCCTTCCAGCTTCCTATCCTCTGAATGAGCTGTTCGCTGCTTTACCCAAATGCTATAGTTTCTCTGGATCAAGGGTTCTTCACGGTGTACAGGGTGGGCATCAGGGGTTCAGGGTTCTCTGAAACCATGTAGTGGATGGTATGCAGTACATGCTCACTCTGGTGAGCCTAGATTATCTAGTTCTGAGAAGGGTCACAGACCTAATAGAGATTTCTCCCGAGTCGTAGGCTACCTGCTCCACAAAGGAGCCGTGTGTTTCTGGCAGTGAGTTCCCAGGGTGCCTTGCCTGCCGTGCAGTGGCCTGTGGTCTCTCAAACCTATTACAGCCAAAAGCACAGTGCCCCCACACAGCATGGGCTTTGGGAGCATAGATGGGCTTGAGGGGGGCACTTCCAGGATTCCCTAGACTGACTTGTTTTCCCCCACCCTTCTTCCAGTTCCTGAGCTGGTGCCAGGCAGGTGACACCTCCTGCAGCCCCCAGCATGCGGGCAGGCCCAGGCCCCGCCGTTACACTGGCCCTGGTGCTGGCGGTGGCATGGGCCATGGAGCTCAAGCCCACAGCACCACCCATCTTCACAGGCCGGCCCTTTGTGGTAGCGTGGGATGTGCCCACACAGGACTGTGGCCCACGCCTCAAGGTGCCACTGGACCTGAATGCCTTTGATGTGCAGGCCTCACCTAATGAGGGTTTTGTGAACCAGAATATCACCATCTTCTACCGCGACCGTCTAGGCCTGTATCCACGCTTCGATTCCGCGGGAAGGTCTGTGCATGGTGGTGTGCCACAGAATGTCAGCCTCTGGGCACACCGGAAGATGCTGCAGAAACGTGTGGAGCACTACATTCGGACACAGGAGTCTGAGGGGCTGGCAGTCATCGACTGGGAGGACTGGCGACCTGTGTGGGTACGCAACTGGCAGGACAAAGATGTGTACCGCCGGTCATCACGCCAGCTGGTGGCCAGTCGTCACCCTGACTGGCCTCCAGACCGCATAGTCAAACAGGCACAATATGAGTTTGAGTTCGCAGCACAGCAGTTCATGCTGGAGACACTGCGTTATGTCAAGGCAGTGCGGCCCCGGCACCTCTGGGGCTTCTACCTCTTTCCTGACTGCTACAATCATGATTATGTGCAGAACTGGGAGAGCTACACAGGCCGCTGTCCTGATGTTGAGGTGGCCCGCAATGACCAGCTGGCCTGGCTGTGGGCTGAGAGCACGGCCCTCTTCCCGTCTGTCTACCTGGACGAGACACTTGCTTCCTCCCGCCATGGCCGCAACTTTGTGAGCTTCCGTGTTCAGGAGGCCCTTCGTGTGGCTCGAACCCACCATGCCAACCATGCACTCCCAGTCTACGTCTTCACACGGCCCACCTATAGCCGCAGGCTCACGGGGCTTAGTGAGGTATGTGTCTCCAGGGCCCTGCCTTTTTCCTCCTTGAGGATCCACTGCACATTTGGGTTATCAGGGGCCACTATAGGACTATATCTGTAGTTTATTGGCTGCTCCACATTCCCTCAAATCATTCTCTCTGTAACCTGAAAGGGCGACATCATTATCCCCATTTTTCAGATGAGAACAATTGAGGCACAGAGATGCTGAGAAGTTTGCCCAAAGCTTCCCAGCAAATCCAGAGCAGAGCTGGGACTGGGGCCCAGGCCTTCTAACTTTGGAATCCATCTTGATAGCTGCACCTAGGCTCAAGTGTGCCTTGGCTTGGGAAACTGAGGCCCAAAAGTGGGGTGGAAATGGACTTAAACATTTAAAAAGGAAGCAAAACAGATGAGTCTCTGCCTGGAGGTGAAAGGGGGGTTGAGCTGTGAGTTCAGTAGGTTGAAACAGGCTGGGGCCTGCCCTCCCCATCTGTTCCTCTCACCCCGTGGGCTCAGTCTTCCCCAGTGACCATCCCTTTTCCTGCATAGATGGACCTCATCTCTACCATTGGCGAGAGTGCAGCCCTGGGCGCAGCTGGTGTCATCCTCTGGGGCGACGCAGGGTACACCACAAGCACGGTAAGCGAGACTCACCCTGCTAGAGCTCAGTCTACGGGACAGCCAGAGAGGGCATTTGGCTACCAATCTCAGGTGGGCAATCCTAGTCTAGTCCCCTTGTCTGTCTCCCACCCAAGGCATCCGTGGTCACGACAGAAAAGGAGATCACCCCCACCCTGCTCTCAGGAAAGAGGAAATGCTTTCCTGAACAGCTGTTGAGTTCCGCCCTTCCCCATCTGCCCAACAGGGTTCCGGTCTCTGCCCCCACCCACTTCTCGTCAGGAGCAGGGACTGTGTGGCTCAGGTGCAGATTGAATGTATAAATGTGTGCAGTTAAAATAAGGCATAGTCATCACAGTGTGGACACAGTTTCCATCTGGGCCTGTGGGCTGAGGTCACTGACCCTGACCTGTGGTCCTTGGCTTCTGCCTCCAGGAGACCTGCCAGTATCTTAAGGATTACCTGACACGGCTGCTGGTCCCCTACGTGGTCAATGTGTCCTGGGCCACCCAATATTGCAGCCGGGCCCAGTGCCATGGACACGGACGCTGTGTGCGCCGCAACCCCAGTGCCAGTACCTTCCTGCATCTCAGCACCAACAGCTTCCGCCTAGTGCCTAGCCACACACCCGGTGAACCCCAGCTGCGACCTGTCGGGGAGCTCAGCTGGGCCGACCTTGACCACCTGCAGACACACTTCCGCTGCCAGTGCTACTTGGGCTGGAGTGGTGAGCAATGCCAGTGGGACCATAGGCAGGCAGCTGGGGGTGCCAGTGAGGCCTGGGCTGCGTTCCACCTCACCAGTCTGCTGGCTCTGGCAGCCCTGGCCTTTACCTGGACCTTGTAGGGGTCTCCTGCCTAGCTGCCCAGCAAGCTGGCCTCTACCACAAGGGTTCTCTTAGGCATGTAGGATCCTGCAGGGGGTGGACAAACTGGAGTCTGGAGTGGGCAGAGCCCCCACGAAGCCCAGGAGGGCATCCATACCAGCTCGCAGCCCCCTGTTCTAAGGGGGAGGGGAAGTCCCCTGGGAGGCCCCTTCTCTCCCTGCCAGAGGGGAAGGAGGGTACAGCTGGGCTAGGGAGAACCTGACCCTACTCTCTTGCCCTGGATAGTTTATTATTATTATTTTGGGGTCTCTTTTGTAAATTAAACATAAAACAGTTGCTTCTCTGCTTGGATTTTGTATGTGGGCTAGAGTGTGTGAGAGATTCCAGAATCTCTCATGGGGTTTGAGCTCAGCTCTGTCTCTATGAAACCCTCTGCTGGGGACTTCTCGTGTAAGATGTATTCACCAAGACTGGGGGCCCAGAGCTGCCCACTCTGGAGCTGTTCTGCTGGAGCACGAGTCACTGGGAGTGGGGGGACCCACATTCCATCCCAACACCAGTGACCTTGCTTTCTCCATATTGGTTGCAAGGGAGTCAGGCGCAGCCCTTGTGTGAGGGACGGGGCTCATTGTGTTTCTGCCACTTGCCCCTGTCTTCTCAGCTGGACCAGTGCCAGCCTCCTTGCCAACCCAGGGAGAAACGTTTGATCTTCCCTGCTGTTCCACAGGCAAGGGTGTCTCCTCCAGTCCCTGCTCCCAAGGGCAGTGGACACCAGCCACATACACCTCTCATCAGGGTCACAGCCCTCCCTCGGATCTGGTGGTGGGAGGTGGGCAGGGGATTGGGATCTGAATCCTGAGGTTCAGTCCCTGTCCCATTCTGGAGATGCCTGATGGGGCTGGGAGGTGGTATCTTGGGCCTGGGAGCAGGAACATCTTCTAAGGTCTGCTCCGTCCTGGCTGTGAGAGAATATGGCTAGTCTCTGATTGTCCCTGAGGAAAGAAGGAGCAGCTGGAGTTGCCAGACCAGCTCTGAGCTGCTTCACTAGCCCTGCCTCTGACAGGAGTGCATTCTGCCCCTCCCCTCAGCCAGCAACCCCCCACCTGGGGTCCCGCCCATGTCCGTGATGACTCACCACGCAGCCCTGCTTCAGGAGGCTCTGGCTCTGGGGAGACAGACTCAAGAAGCCATTGAGTGGCCAGGGCAGCCAGCAGCAGGGGAGCAGGGGTGGTGCCCTTAGAGATGCTTCCCACATTGGGTTCTGAAAGGTGAGGGCAGCAGCTCGATGCTCGGGAACAAATCCTGGGCAGAGGCTAAAGGAAGCTGGAGAGGGTGAAGGTGAACAGTTCACGGCTGGGGTGTGGCTTAGGGGCTGCTGTGGACAGAGGCAGGAGGGACAGCCCTGGAACAGCACCAGGCCTGACTTCGCCTAATGGTGGAGACTGCCTCACTCATTCAGTAAACGCTGAGCACGCAGTGTGCCTGTGCTGGGCTAGGTGCTGGGGATGCATCCGTGATGCATCTGTGAACCACACCAACACAGACCCCTGTCCTTGTGGGAGTGACAAAATAGAGGTAGATGTACACTAGATGCAAAGACCAAGATGCCAGATGACAGAAACAAGCCCGGCCAAGCCAGTGCCAACCCAGACTGTAAAGACATCCTTCCCTCACCTCTAATGGGTAGAGAATGGAGAGGAGAGAGTGAGGTGGTAAAACTGGAAAGGTGACGTGGTAAATTCACGCAGTGAAGAATGAGGTGGACACAGAAGTAGAGGAGTCCCAGGTGTTCATGGCCATGGTGGGGGAGGCCAGGCTGGAGAGAAGATTCAGGTGTTGGTCAATAAAATGATGGGCTGGGTGCGGTGGCTCACTCCTGTAATTCCAGCACTTTGGGAGGCTGAGGCAGGTGGATCACTTGAGGGCAAGAGTTTGAGACCTGCCTGGCCAACGTGCTGAAACCCTGCCTCTACTAAAAATACAAAAATTAGCTGGACAGGCTGAGCGCAGTGGCTCAGCCTCTAATCCCAGCACTTTGGGAGGCCAAGGCAGGCGGATCACAAGGTCAGGGAATTAGAGACCAGCCTGACCAATGTGGTGAACCCCATCTCTACTGAAAATACAAAAATTGGCCGGGTATGGTGGTGCCTGCTTGTAATCCCAGCTACTCAGGAGGCTGAGGCAGGAGAATCACTTGAACCCGGGAGATGGAGGTTGCAGTGAGCCGAAATCATGCCACTGCACTCCAACCTAGGCGACAGAGCGAGACTCCATCTCAAAAAAAAAATTAGCTAGGTTTGGTTGTGCACATCTGTAGTCCCAGCTGCTTGGGCAGCTGAAACACAAGAATCACTTGACCCCAGGAGGTTGTAGTGAGCGGAGACTGCGCCACTGAACTCCAGCGTGGGTGACAGAGCAAGACTCTGTCTCAAAAAAAAAAGTTGCCACAATAAGATAATGGTGCTCAGCAAAGGGAGAGCAGGAAAGGAGAAAGGAGCTGTGGCCTGTCCCCCATACCTGTGACTTCCTGCACCTGTGACCTCCCCCACACACGTGACCATGCATACCTCTGAGCTACCCCACCCACACCCAACACACACAGGTGATCCAGACCACACCACTGTGACCTTTCCCACTTAGCTATGACCCCTGCATACCTGTAACCCCTCCCATGTGTGACCCCACACCACTGTTACCTTCTCCAAATAGCTGTGACTCCTCCACAACTGCGACCTTCCCTGCACAGCTGTGACCAGTACCCATCGAGCTGTGACCCCCTCCATATAAACCTTTATGAACCTCCATTTCTTCCCCCAGAGGACCTAAAAGACAGTCCTAGGGAAAGTGCAACTCAGGGAGAGCCAGCACTGTCCTGTGGGGAAGACAGGGAGTGTGTAGGAGTAAAGTAATGGGGAGTGATGCGGCTCAGAGGTCTGAAGTGTTGCACAGCCAGAGACAGCAGGCCGGACTGGACCATCAAGCTGATGGGCCCCAGACACATGCACGCACACACACCACTTGAACCAATCCTACTGGACCAGCCCAGTAGGAGCAGGCCTGTGGGCAGGGCCCTGGGGTGGAAGAGGGTTTCAGGCACCCTCGGCTTCTTCCTGTGGTTCCACCATTAGAGCTTCTCCCTTGGACTGAGGCCAGCTGGAGAATGCTGGCCTGATGGTTGCCTGGATCGTGCCAACTGCAGCACTAGGTTTCTGGGGGGCACCAGGAGGTGGCATGAATCCTCGAGGAGAGGGGCCGGGGGCTGCCTTGATGTTCTGTTCCCTCAGCCCTCAAGAGTTGTGCCAGGCTCTCTGGTCCTACATGGTCATCACTCTGGGACCCTGCTTCCTGAACAGGATCAGCAGCCACCACTTCTGGGGCTTGATCCTGTGTACAAGTCTCATGCTGTCCCCAGCACCCTGGGCCCTTCTTTCCCTCAGCCCTGTCAGCTTTTCTATCCCAGGCAGCCTGGAGGACCAAGCCCAGATGGTAGTTAACTGTGAGTTTCACTGCTTCAGTGGCCACCGTGCCAGGGGTGGCCTGGCTGCAGTGGCTCAGTCTCAGACTTGACTCAGATCCAGGCAGCACTTTCACTTGGGCAGGGACATGGTGTTTCCTTCACCCCACTCTGGCAGGCAAGTCTGGGCCCAAGCACGTAGCAGGTGTCAATAACCAGCTTCTGAATCAGCTGTGAACCCACAAAATCTGAGAAAGGTCTCAGTTAACTTAGAAAGTTTATTTTGCCGAGGTTGAGGACTTGCCGGTGACACAGCCTCAGGAAGGACTGACGACAAGTGCCCAGGGCAGTTGGGGCACATCTTGGCTTTATACATTTTAGGGAGACATGAGACATTAATCATTATGTAAGAAGCACATTAGTTCCAGAAAGAAAGGGGGAGACTGCTCAAATCAAGGCTCCCAGGCTCAAAGCACTGGGGGCTTCCAGGTCACAGATAGGTGAGAGACAGATGGTTGCATTCTTTTGAGTTTCTGGTAAGTCTTTCCAAAGGAGGCAATCAGATTATGCATCCATCTCTGTGAGCAAAAGGATGACCTTAATAGAATGGGAGGCAGATTTGCCCTGAGCAGTTCCTAGCTTGAAGAGGCCCAGGATACTTTCCTTTCACATTTACCCCATTTTCTTTTTAAAAATCTTTTGGAGAAAGCATTTTGCAAGAAAATGAGTATCTGGTCTCAGGTTTCATCTGATCTCTCATTGCTAGATAGGTAGGTCCTGAAAACTCATTTTTAGCAGGTTGTAAAGTCTCATGCAGTGAAGAGAAAAATAGGGAGGAGGAAGGGAGAAAAAAAAACAGCAAAAGAACAATCCAAGGCCTGGCGGGGTGGTTCATGCTTGTAATCCCAGCAATTTGGGAGGCCAAGGCGGGCAGATCACCTGCAGTCAGCAGTTCGAGAACAGCATGACCAACATGGAGAAACTCTATCTGTACTGAAAATACAAAAAACTAGCTGGGCATAGTGGCTCATGCCTGTAATCCCAGCTACTCGGGAGGCTGAGACAGGAGAATCACTTGAACCCAGGAGGTGGAGGTTGCAGCGAGCTGAGATCCTGCCATTGCACTCCACCCTGGGCAACAAGAGTGAAACTCTGTCTCCAAAAAAAAATCCTGGAAAAATATAGGCCACGTTACTCTGAAGTCCATACATTGGTAGGCAGGTATGAAAGTGGCTTATGTATGTAAACAGGTTACTGTTACTTTCTTCTGAAGTGTAAGTTGTCTGGCTTTAGTTCACACGCTTTTAAGAAACCACAGCTAGGGCCGGCTGCCGTGGCTTACGCCTGTACTCCCAGCACTTTGGGAGGCTGAGGCGGCCAGATCACAAGGTCAAGAGTTCGAGACCAGCCTGGTCAATATGGTGAAACCCATCTCTACTAAAAATACAAAAATTAGCTAGGCATGGTAGCAAGCGCCTGTAGTCCCAGCTACTTTGGAGGCTGAGGCAGGAGAATCGCTTGAACCTAGGAGGCGTAGGTTGCAGTGAGCTGAGATTGCGCCACTACACTCCAGCCTGGGTGACAAAGGGAGACTCCACCTCAAAAAAAAAAAAAGAAAGAAACCACAGCTTAGTTTTCAGTGACTCCAAATTAGGAAAATGAAAAAAAGAAAAAGAAAGAAAAAAATTGAAAACTTTATTTTGAAGACTTGTAGCCAAGAAAAATTCAGTCCAAACTGTAGAAAATCATAAAAATTGGAAACAAAAAAAAAAAAACAGTTAAGACTAGAATCTAACAACAGGTGTACATTTGTTTTGAAACATAATTTTATTCTCTCCAATTTCCCATTTTACTAAAGACAAATCATGATATGACTTGTTTGCTTAT